ATGGAAGAAAAAAATTATACATCTCCAAAGTTGGATTTCCTGCACCACTATACTTTTAAATGAAGAAATTCATAAGTAGTGACCATGAATAATAGTGAGTTTGTGACAACTGACTTCTAAACTACTAGATGACAGTAACATTGCTAAAGACAAAGTTTTTGGTTAGTAGTTTGGTGAGGGCCTTTACCGGGTGATACTTACCAGGTAATGGTTAACTGTTGCTCAGGAGCCAGCTAGAACCCCCCGACCCAGGGAGACAATGGCCAGCCCCCAGCAGTGGCACTAGGAGTGGGAAACCTGGGGGCTGCTCAAGCTGGGCTGTAGTGGTCCTTCGCCCAGACCCCACATAGTTGGTTAACTGATTAATAGGGATTTTACATCTTTGGGGAGTTTGGAGGGCAGTGTCTTGTGTGGATTTTTTTTAAACCAAATTGCCAAAATTGGCATACATGCCAGTTGCATTGCATATGTGCATTCTCTACCACAGTGACTCAACACTTCCAAACTACCATACCCCTTTCAGAACTTGCACACTCCCAACTGCCACCTCATTTAAAAACTACTTGCTTACAACATCAGACATAAAAATACAAGAGTGCTATAGCACACTATTACTGAAAAATTGTTTCTTCTTACTATATAAATAAATCGTTGAATATAAATATTATATTTACATTTCAGTGTATAGCATATACAGCAGTATAAACAAGTCATTTCTGTATGAAATGTTAGTTTCTACTGCCTTCACTAGTCCTTTCTAAGTAGCCTGTTGTAAAACTAAGAGGATATCTAAAGGAGTTGATGTACCCCTAGGGCTACACATACTCCTGGTGGAGAATCATTGCTGTTAAGCAGCCTTTCTAGCTGACTGAAGTGCACTATTAACATGTTCTGAAGCAAACATGGTGAAAGGGATATAGGGACTAGAACAAGGTTGGTCAATAATTTTTGCTGGGGGCCAGACCAAGGAATTTGATAAATGATCAAGGACTACACTCTTCCTTGATATTAATGGAGGATGCTCAGGGTCTAGGATGGAGATTGGGCGAAGGAAGGGGTTGTGAATTCCGGAAGGAAAAGAGTATGCAGAATCCGAGAAGAGGGATGTAGGGGGGAGGGGGAAAGGGGTTAGAGAGCTAGGTTCAGGCTCCAGCCAGGAGGCGCTTACCTTAGGCACCACCCAAACAGCAGCCCAGCAGGACCCTGGGGCAGGGGGCCCATGTGCTCTCTGTATGCCATGTGCCCTTGGGGGAGCACTCTGCACATTGACTATGCTACAAGCATACCCCAGGCAGCTCCAACTGGCCCAATCATGGGGAGCTGTGAGACTGTACTGGTAGCAGGGGCAACATGCAAAGACACCGCCTATCTCGAACATGCAGAGAGCTCATGACCCCCACAGCTAGTCATTTTGAACAGCTGGTGGAAGGAGGGAGCGCACACAATAGGCCAGGATAAGGATGTTGAATTGCAGTTATCTGGCTAATCGTGTTGTCGATACAATTTGTATTGACTATATGATTAGTCGATAAGGTTCGCTCTGTAGAACCACAGTGGGGGTAGCTCCCATAGCCAGCTTGAGCTGGGACTGAGCAGCCCCAGCTTCTGCCAACTTTGGGAGTCACCCACACAGCAGCTCTGTATGTTAACTGTAGTAAGAGCTGTTGGACTCTTACTATATTTAAAATGCAGAGGCACAGCGTCCTGGACCAGCATGAGCCGGGACTTCTTGGTCCTGGCTTGTGCCAAGTCCAGCAGTCCCAAGGGAGGGGGAAGCAACTAGTCAACAAGCTTGCTGACTATCCAATAAGAATTTGCTTATCAGGTTGTCATCTAGTCCCTCACATCCCTAGTGCACTTCAGGCTAAAAGCGTAATGGCTGAAAGTGTAACTAGGTTAAAAAACATTAGAAGTTTAGGCAGGATGTGTCCATAAATTACTATTAGTCAAGATGTTCAGAGATGCAATCCCAAGTACAGGGTGTCCCCTAAGACAGAGGGTACGTCTAGACTACATGCCTCTGGCGACAGAGGCATGTAGATTAGGCTACCCGACAGAGTAAAATGAAGCGGCGATTTAAATAATCGCCGCTTCATTTAAATTTACATGGCTGCCGCGTTGAGCCGACAAACAGCTGATCCCAGGAGGCATACCTGGGTTGTCGACAACTCCCTTTGATGTCGGCAGGGGAGCGTCCAGACTATCG